GAAAGAACCCGTTGTAAATAATTAATTAGTAGTGAAGGTACAGCAAAGCTGTCTGTTGACATACTACTACATTCAGTGGCCCGTATGTCCACAGCAAAGGCTGACCCCCACTTTCACTCCAGTACAGTAGCCTTTCTTTGCAATTACAGAGGTCAAACGTTTCCTGTAGTTTTTCACCAGGTTTGCACACACTGCAGTAGGGATTTTGGCCCATTCCTCCACACACATCTTCTATAGATCAGCCAGGTCTCTGGGCTGTTGATGAAAAACACGGAGTTTGAGCTCCCTCCAAAGATTTTCTATAGGGTTTAGGTCTGGAAACTGGCTAGGCCACTCCAGAACCTTGATATGCTTCTTATGGAGCCACTCCTTGGTTATCCTGGCTGTGTGCTTCGGGTCATTGTCATGTTGGAAGACCTAGCTATGACCCATCTTCAATGCTCTAACTGAGGCGAGTGGAATTAAGACCAAAAAGTTATATTTTGGTCTTATCTGACCAAATAACTTTCTCCCATGACTCCTCTGGATCATCCAAATGGTCATGGGCAAACTTAAAAGATGGGCCTGGACGTGTGCTGATTTAAGCAGGGGAACCTTCCATGCCATGCATGATTTTAAACTATGACGTCTTAGTGTATTACCCACAGTAACCCTGGAAACATGGGTGCCATCTCTCTTGAGGTCATTGACCAGTTCCTCATGTGTAGTTTTGGGCTGATTCCTCACCTTTCTTAGAATCTCTTATACGCCACAAGGTGAAATCTTACATGGAGCCCCAGTCCGAGGGAGATTGACAGTCATGTTTTGCTTCTTCCATTTTCTAATAATTGCTCTAACAGTGTTTTGGACACTCGAGTGAAGAGAGGGGCAGAGCTGTCCACTGATCACTACCTGGTGGTGAGTTGGCTACGATGGTGGGGGAGGATGCGGTCAGACCTGGCAGACCTAAACGTATTGTAAGGGCTTGCTGGGAATGTCTGGCAGAGTCTCCTGTGAGACGGAGCTTTAACTCCCACCTCCGGGAGAACTTAGAACATGTTCCAAGGGAGGTGGGAGACATCGAGTCCGAGTGGGCCATGTTCCGTGCCTCTATTGTCGAGGCGGCTTACCAGAGCTGCGGCTGCAAGGTTGTCGGTGCATGTCACGGCGGCAACCCTCGAACCCGGTGGTGGACACCGGTGGTGAGGGATGCTGTCAGGCTGAAGAAGGAGTCCTATCTGGCCTTTTTGGCCTGTGGGACCCTGAAGCAGCTTGATGGGTACCAGCAGTCCAAGCGACATGCGGCTCAGGTGGTCGCTGAGGCAAAAACTCGGGCATGGGAGGAGTTCGGAGAGGACATGGAGAATGACTTCAGCATGGCTTCGAGGCGATTCTGGTCCACCATGCGGCGTCTCGGGGGGGGGGGGGGGGGGTACACCACCAACACTGTTTATAGTGGGAGTGATGTGCTGCTGACCTCATCTCGGGATGTCGTGTGCCGGTGGGCAGAATACTTTGAAGACCTCCTCAATCCCACCGGCACGTCTTCCACTGAGGAAGCGGAGCCTGAGGACTCTGGGTCGGACCCTCCAATCTCTGGTCGGGCCCTCCAATCTCTGGTGCTGAGGTCACCGAGGTGGTTAAAAAGCTCCTCGGTGGCAGGGCCCCAGGGGTGGATGAGAGTCGCCCAGAGTTCCTTAAGGCTCTGGATGTTGTAGGGTTGTGTTGGCTTACACGACTCTGCAATATTGAGTGGACATCAGGGGAAGTTCCCCTGGATTGGCAGACCGGGGTGGTGGTCCCCCTATTCAAAAAGGGGGACCGTAGAGTGTGTTCCAACTACAGGGGAATTACGCTCTTAAGCTTCCCTGGTAAGGTCTATTCGGGGGTTCTGGAGAGGAGGGTCCATCGGATAGTCGAACCTCGGATTCAGGAGGAGCAGTGCGGTTTTCGTCTTGGTCGTGGAATATTGGACCAGCTCTACACCCTCAGCAGGGTCTTGAGGGTGCGTGGGAGTTTGCTCAACCGGTCTACATGTGCTTTGTGGACTTGGAAAAGGCGTTCGACCGCGTCCCTCAAGGAACCCTGTGGGGGGTACTCTGGGAGTATGGGGTACCGGGCCCTTTGATATGGGCTGTTAGGTCCCTGTATGACTGGTGTCAGAGCCTGGTCCGTATCGCTGGCAGTAAGTCGGGCTTGTTCCCGGTGAGAGTTGGACTCCGCCAAGGATGCCCATTGTTACAGATTCTGTTCATAACTTTTATGGACAGAATTTCTAGGCGCAGCCAAGATGTTGAGGGGATCAGTTTTGGTGGCCTTAGGATTGCGTCTCTGCTTTTTGCAGATGATGTGATCCTGTTGGCTTCATCAGATCGTGATCTACAGCTTTCGCTGGAGTGGTTCGCAGCAGAGTGTGATGTGGCCGGGATGACGATCAGTTCCTCCAAATCCAAGGCCATGGTCTTGAGCCAGAAAAGGGTAGAGTGCCCTCTCCGGGTCAGGGAGGGGGTCCTGCCACAAGCGAAGGAGTACAAGTTTCTTGTGGTCTTGTTCACGAATGAGGGAAAAATGGAACGCGAGATCAATACGAGGATAGGTGCAGCGTCTGCAGTGAAGCAGGCGCTGTACAGGTCTGTCGTGGTGAAGAGAGAGAGCTGAGTCAAAAGGCAAAGCTCTCAATTTACCGATCGATCTACGTTCCCACCCTCATCTATGGTCATGAGCTTTCGGTTGTGACCCAAAGAACAAGATCTCGGATACAAGCGGCCAAAATTAGTTTTCTCCGCAGGGTGTCTGGGCTCTCCCTTAGAGATAGGGTGAGAAGCTCGATCATCCGAGAGCGACTCAGAGTAGAGCCGCTGCTTCTCCACGTCAAGAGGAGCCAGTTGAGGTGGCTTGGGCATGTGTTTAGGATGCCTCCTGGACGCCTCCCTGGTGAGGTGTTCCGGACACGTCCCAACGGAATGAGACCCAGAGGAAGACCCAGGACACGCTGGAGGGACTATGTTTCTCGGCTGGCCTGGGAACACCTCGGAATTCCCCCAGAGGAGCTGAACCAAGTGGCTGGGGAGAGGGAAGTCTGGGCCTCCCTACTTAGGCTGCTACCCCCGCGACCCGACTGTGGATAGGCGGAAGAAAGGATGGATGGATGGATGCGCCAACAGTTGATCTTTTTCCACCAAGCTGCTTGGCAATTGCCCAGTAGCCCTTTCCAGCATTGTGGAGGTCTACAATTTTGTCTCTGGTGTCTTTGGACAGCTCTTTGGTCAGCCATATTAATAGTTTGGAGTCTTACTGATTGCGTGGGTTGGACAGGCGTCTTTATGCAGCTAATAACCTCAAACAAGTGCTTCTAATTTAGAATAAGTGGAGTGGAGGTGGACTTTTTAGCGGCGGACTAACAGGTCTTTGAGGGCCAGAATTGTTGCTGACTGGCAGGTGTTCAAATATTTATTTGCAGAAGTAACACACAAATAAATTGTTTTTAAAAATCATACATTGTGATTTCCAATTTTTTAAAAATAGATTATGTCTCTCACAGTGGACATGCACCTAAGATGAAAATTTCAAACCCTTCCATGATTTCTAAGTGGGAGAACTTGCAAAGTCGCAGGGTGTTCAAATACTTATTTTCCTCACTGTAAGTCAATCATCAAACTGCGGCCTAGGGTGTCCTGTTGCCAAGAGCATATATGGACACCCTTATGCTTGAACATGGTGTTCATTATAGACAATCCATGACAAGCACAGAAGTCCAATATCAGAACACCACTCGAGTTCAGATCAGGGGGGCCATTCCTCCCAACCACACCCCTCCAGGTCTCACTGTCATTGCCCACGTGAGTGATGAAATCCCCCAGCAGAACAAGGGGATCCTCAAGAGGCGCACTCTACGGTACCCCCTCTAAGGACTCCAAAAAGGGTGGGTAATCTGAACTTCCGTTTGGCGCCTAAGCACAAACAACAGTCAGAACCCGTCCCCCCACACGTAGGTGGAGGGAGGCTACCCTCTCGTTCACCGGGGTGAACCCCAACATACAGGCACCAAGATAGGGGGCAATAAGTATGCCCACTCCTGCTTGGCTTCTCTCACCAGGGACAATGCCAGAGTGGAAGAGTGTCCAACCCTTCTCAAGGAAACTGGTTCCAGAGCCAGAGCCATGTGTCAAAGTGAGTCTGACTTTCTAGCCGAAACCTCTAAACCTCACACAACAGCTCAGGCTCCTTTCCCACCAGAGAGGTGACATTCCACGTCTCAATAGCCAGTTTCTGTAGCCGAGGATCAGACCGCCAAGGTCCCCGCCCTCGGCCACCACCGATCCCACATTGCACCCGACTCCTTTGGCCCCTCCCACAGGTGGTGAGCCCATGGGAAGGGGGATCCACTTCTCCTCTTCGGGCTGAGCCTGGCCGGGCTCCATGGGTAAAAGTCCGGCCACTAAGCATTCGCCAGCGTGCCCCACATCCAGGCTGGAGCCCGGCTCCAGAGTGGGGCCCTAGTGACCCACGTCCGGGCAAGGGAACATTGGTTCCATTCATTTTAAGCTTCATAGGGGTCTTTGGGCTGCACTTTGTCTGGTCCCTCTCCTGTGAGGTTTGAGGATCACAGCAACATGACATTAACAGGAAAACATCATCTGCAAATAGCAGAAATGAAATTCTGAGGCCATTAAACAGAACTCACTCCACCCCCTGACGGCACCGAGAAATTCTTTCCATAAAAGGTTATTAACAGAATCTGTGACAACGGGCAGTTCTGGTGGAATCCAAATCCCACCATGTAGGGGTCTTGACTTACTGCCGGCAATCAGAACCAAACTCTGCACCGCTTGTACAAGAACTGAATGGCCCATAGCAATGGGCCCCCAATCACAGATAAGCGTCATTGTGACACTGGGTGGAACCATGTGATGCCTAAAAACTGATAATGAAATAATTATTTTACTTTTGTTGTTGTCATTTTGGTATTCAGCTGATGTGTAGAGGTGAACTCCCTCATGAGAGACCGGTTCCATTTTTACCTTGACATGGATCTGATTGCGCAGCACAGCAGCACGAAGGATCATAGCCTTTGCTCGTCTCTGGAACTCTTTTCCCATGTGGAGAGATTTCTCAAATGTGGTGCTCCTCTGATCCACATCCCTTGCATATAAAATCTGTAGGCACAACATACTGTTTTACAAATCTTTAAACAGAAGATAAGCTCCTGTCGACTTTCCTTCAGTTTTTTTTATACCTTGCTGTGGGAGTCGATTCGTGCATTGACGAGACCCTCCAGAATCAGCTGGGTGAGCTCATCTTCCAGAGCTGATACTGTGGTGTTGAAAGCCTGAGCCATCTTAGTCATGTCAGCTGATACATATGGGCTGAAATACTAAACACACAACAATTAAACTGTAACACAACAAGGAAAAGAGCATGTGTGAACTGTTTTATGATACATGTCAAATTATCATTCATGAAAATGAGTCGAACCCCAGTCAGGGACCTTTCTGGGTGGAGTTTACATGCTTCTTTGTGGGGTTTCTTCAGGTGCTCTGGTTTCTTTACACCGATCAAAAACATTATATTTAAACTAATTGGTAAATCTAAATTGCCCGTAGGTTTGAGTGAGAGTGTAAATGGTTGTTTGTCATAAATCTAGTACTCCCTACCTCCTTGTGCATGTGTGTTTTTTTTCCAAATTTGTGTATTCTGCTTCTTTTTTGATTATTTCATGTCTTTTTTTCCTGTATAATTAGAACATGATGACCAAGGATGATGACCAAGATGGCGCCATGTACGGTCGCCCTGGCATTCTGGTGCGCTCTGTTTTTTTCTGTTTTGGTGCATTAATCATGTGTCTGTATGCTCCTACACACGCGAGGAGCTTCTAAACATCAGAATTACAACCCATGAGGACATTACTCCAGTTTTTTTAGTGCCTGCTGCAGAACTTGTGCACTTTTTGGCCAAAAGAGCGAGAATTCGCAGGAGGGGCAGAAGAGCCAGAGCGCTCGTGCGTCTCCGGAGGCACGGTACACGCACGCCTTTACTTGGGATATTCCTCTCCAACGTCCGTTCCCGCTACAATAAAATGGACGAGATAGCGCTGCTGATGAGAAGGAACAGTGATTTTTCCTCCTCCTGTGTGCTGTGCTTCACGGAGACATGGCTCAACGAGCAGACCCCGGACTCCGTGCTCCATCTCGAGGGATTCCAGCTCCTCGGCGGTGACAGACAGCGGGAACTTTCCGGAAGAAAGACAAAAGGCGGAGGAGTCTCTTTCTTTATCAACAATGCCTGGTGCTCCGAGGTGACAGTGATCTCCCAGCACTGCTCTCCTTCTCTGGAATATTTCTTCATAAACTGCAAACCGTTTTACTCTCCACGTGAGTTCACTTCATTCACTCTGGCCGCTGTTTACATCCCACCGTGCGCGGACGTGCACAAGGCTGAGCGAGCGCTCGCGGACCAGATTACGAGTGTAGAGCGGACTTTTCCGGACTCCCTTGTTATTATCCTTGGAGATTTTAACAAAGCAAACCTCAGGCATGAACTACTTAAATATAAACAGTTTATTAAATGCCCGACCAGAGAAAGGAACACGCTGGATCACTGTTACACCACAGTGAGCGGTGCTTATCGTGCTGTGCCTCGTGCTGCCCTGGGTCTCTCAGATCATGAGATGATTCACCTCATACCTGCATACAGACAGAGACTGAAGCTCTAAAAACCTGTGGTGAGGACATCCAAAAAGTGGACCAGTGAAGCTGTGGAAGAGCTACGCACGTGTTTGGACACCACAGACTGGGACCTGTTCAGGGCTTCTACAGACAGTCTAGACGAATACACAAACACTGTGACGTCATATACACATTTCTGTGAGGACAGCATCATCCCATCACGCTCCAGAGTCATTTTCAATAATGATAAACCTTGGTTCACATCCAAACTAAGACAGCTTCGTCAGCAGAAGGAGGCTGCTTTCAGAGAGGGGGACAGAGACAACTACAGACGTGCGAAGTACGGATTTAGCAGGGAGGTGTCGAAGGCTAAATCCAGGTACAACACACGGCTGGAACAACAATTCTCTGCAAACGACTCTGCCTCTGTCTGGAGGGGCTGAAAGAGATAACTAACTACAAGCCCAGAGCACCTCATTCTAAAGACAATCTCAAACTGGCAAACGATCTGAACGACATCTATTCACGCTTTGAAGTCATGGACTCACATTCCTCCATCCTCCACACCAACCCCAGCCCAACTGGTTTAACGAGTTTGGACTGCCCCCGACAACCCCCTGCTATCTCTGTACAAGAGGATGAAGTAAGGAGGCTTTTTAAAAGGCTGAATACACATAAGGCTGCAGGCCCAGACCTTGTGTCACCCTCCACGCTGAGACATTGTGCTGGAGAGTTGGCTTCGGTCTTCACAGGGATCTTCAACTCTTCTCTGGAGTCATGCCACGTCCCAGCCTGTTTCAAGTCCTCCATCATCATCCCTGTCCCCAAGAAGCCATGTGTCACAGGACTAAATGACTACAGACCTGTAGCTCTCACGTCTTTAGTCATGAAAACCTTTGAACGCTTGGTTTCATCTCACCTCAAGTCCATCACCAACCCCCTCCTGGACCCCCTGCAGTTTGCGTACAGGGCCAACAGGTCTGTAGATAAACCTGGCTCTTCATTTCATCCTGCAGCACCTGGACTCCCCAGGAACCTACGCCAGGATCCTGTTCGTGGACTTCAGCTCCGCATTTAACACCATCCTCCCTGCTCTGCTCCAAGACAAGCTCTCCCTGCTCCATGTCCCTGACTCCACCTGCAGGTGGATCACAGACTTCCTGACAGACCGGAGTCAGTGCGTGCGGCTGGGGAGAGCTGTCTCGGACACTCGGACTGTAAGCACAGGATCTCCACAGGGCTGTGTGCTTTCCCCCCTGCTTTTCTCCCTGTACACCAACTGCTGCACCTCCAGCCATGACTCTGTGAAACTTATTAAGTTTGCAGATGACACCACCCTCATCGGGCTCATCTCGGACGGTGATGAGACTGCATACAGGAGGGAGGTGGACCGGCTGGTGACCTGGTGCAGCAGCAACAACCTGGAACTCAATGCCCGGAAGACAGTGGAGATGATTGTGAATTTCAGGAAAGCCACAGCCCCTCTGCCCCCCCCCCCCACACCTGTAATGATACCCCCATCACCACTGCAAACTCTTATCAGTTCCTTGGCACCACCATCACCCAGGACCTCAAGTGGGAGCCGACCATCAGCTCCTTCATCAAGAAGGCCAAGCAGAGACTGTACATCCTGCGACAGCTGAAGATGGCCAAGCTGATGGTGCAGTTCTACACGGCCATCATCGAGTCCATCCTCAGCTCCTCCATCACGGTGTGGTACGCCGGGGCCACTGCCAGGGACAGACTCAGACTGCAGTGCGTTGTGCGCTCAGCTGAGAAGGTGATCGGCTGCAGCCTTCTATCCCTCCACGACCTGTACGTCTCCAGGACTGTGAGGCGAGCAGGTCGGATCACAGCTGACCCTGCTCACCCTGCACATGGTCTGTTCGAACCACTCCCCTCAGGCAGGAGGCTTCGATCCATACGGACCAGAACCTCCCACCATAAGAACAGTTTCTTCCCCTCTGCTGTTGGACTCCTGAACACTCATAATGTTCCCTCATAATTTCTGCTTTGGTCACATTACATCTGTATTATAATTGAATACTCCATCTGTACTATTTTCCAAGTTTTTTTTATTGTTTTCTATTGTATGGGTGTACACATGTTTATGTTATGTTTTTATTTTTACTTTATTTGTGGGTGTACACAGGTCTTATGTCTTATGTAATGTTCTCATTTTTACTTTATTTTACTTTATTACTATTCGCACCTTATGTCGAAGCAAATTCCTAGTTTGTGAACCTAGTTCATTGACATGGCAATAATAAACTGATTCTGAACATGCTGGATGCCTATTCAATTCAATTCAATTCAATTCAGTTTATTTATATAGCACCAAATCACAACAAAGATGTCTCAGGGTACTTTACAGGAACATCCACATACATAAAAGCCAATTAGTAAAGTTCTCTATCTAGTATATATACCATAGCAATTTATTTATCTCCAGCTTCCCGCGTGCCCGGACCAGGTAACCAGCGCGAGTTGTCAGCCGTTGCGCAGCTCGGACCCACCTGGAGGGGCTGTTATTGAAAACCTGCGGCCATTAGCGCGCGCTAACTCCACCGCTGCTGGCTCTACTTTGAACAATATCCGGATGTGTTTGGTCAACGCAAGATCTGTTACCAACAAAACTTTTATCCTCAGGGACTACTTTCAACAGTATGATCAGGACATTTTCTGCATCACAGACTTGGATGTCTCTGGGAGAGTCCAGCGCCTTGACGGATTTACTGCCACCGAACTGTCTGTGTTTTAACGCCCCGCGGCCATCAGGCCGGCGCGGTGGTGGATTATTAACAATATTCAAAGCAACTTTTGACTGTAAACAACTGCCCATCCCAGTTTCCCGCGCCAGCTTTGAGCTGAGCATCTTTGAGCTGAGCATCTTTGAGCTGAGCATCTTTGAACTCGGCCACTCGCCTCCGACGTTATTTGCACTTGTCTACCGCCCACCTCGGTCCAAGGATTTCATAAATGAGTTTTCGGACTTCTTGGCTGAAATCACACCAAAATATGAGCATGTTTACATTATTGGTGACTTTAATTTGCACGTGTGCTGTCCTGAGAAGCCCTTGGTTAAGGACTTTTTAGACTTATTGGACTCATTTAATTTAACTCAGCATGTAAACGGGCCCACCCAAGAGCGTGGACATACACTGGACCTTGTTTTAACTCATGATATGACTGTTAATAATCTTGTTATTGGTGATAATGTTTTTTCAGACCACATGCCAGTCCGGTTTGAGTTCACCCTCACCCATCTAACTCATAAGCCATGCATTCCTGCACGTCGCACCCGGACCATTAACCACTTCACTGCCACACGTTTCACTGATGTTTATAACTCTGAAATGATAATTCAGGCCCCAGTGTTTCTCACCACCACTGAGGAGCTGACATCCCAGTTCAACTCTGTCTGCTTAAAGACTCTGGATCATGTTGCACCTGTTAAAACCAAAAAAATCAAAACTCACAGCAGAACCTTGACTGAGTGACGTCACCAAGGCCGTTAGGCAGCAATGTAGGAGGGCGGAACGAAAGTGGAGGAAAGACAGGCTTCAGGTCTCTTTCCAGATACTTAAAGAGAGTTGGCGCTGTTATCAGAAAACAGTAAAAGCTGCTAAATCAAAATTCTTCTCTGATATAATTACCTCAAACTCTCACAACCCACGTGTCCTCTTCTCCACCCTAAACTCTGTTCTCC